CTCCAGACAACCTGGGGGGTTAACCTTGGCCTTGGATTGGGAACAAGTTCTCTAAAACAAGAGCAGTCCTACACACCCGCAGAGGGTAGCCCTCTGAGAAATTAATCGTTCTGGGTGTCTCCAGATGTGTGCGCGGCCACATCTTGGTACCTAACTTGTCACAGAATGTTGCTTTATATGTAAGGATCCAGTCCAAGTTCATGCCGCAGTTGGTTGCTTGGGTCTCTCTGCTTCTGGAACAGTCCCCACATGTATTGTGGCATTGACTGTAGAGTCCAGGGCATTTTACTTCTAGAATGCCCTGCTCTGGATCTATCAGATTGCTTCCTCGTGCATTTAACCTGCTTCTCCACTCTGGGTTTCCTGTGAACTGTACTGCTGGTAAAAGCCTGCTTAAAGGCAGGTTTAATGTGGCAAAAATGCCTTCTGGCGGTGCCCTTCCCCAGAGGGCAGGCATGACTGTCTGCCTCAGGATTAGTGTGTTTCTATCAAGAATGGATGTTGGATTTTGGCAGACCCATTTTTGGCAGCTGAGATGATCACGTGGTGAATGTTTCCGCTACTATGTTAACTACAGTCGCGTGAATTCCGTCCTGCTTGGTCATGCTGCAGTATCCTTTTTATGTACGCAGATTTGATTTGCTAAAATCTTGAAGAATTTTTTTGCTTATATTCATGACAAACTTTGGTCTGTAGTTTTTATGAAATACCGTGTGGTTTGGGTGTCGGGGTTTCTGCCAGTCTTCCATGAGGAGTTTGGAAGTGTGCTCTCCTCTTGAGTTTTCCAGAACAATTCGTGCAGAATTGGCATTACTTCTTCCCCTAAATGTCTGGGTGATTGTCTTTTTAAAATTTTTCATTGAGCTGTAAAATGCACAAGGTTTACTAATCTGAAGTGCATGGCCCATTATTTGTTAATGCTCAGACTGTGCCATGGGTGGCCAGTGGGGGCGCTCCAGGCTCCCTTAGGTGCCTCGCCATCATTCCTTGAGCACTTCCCTGCTTTCTGGTTCAGGAACGTGTTCGGCTCATCTTTTCTTGTTTTCTCTCAGTACTAGAATCGGTCATTTTTCCACAGAGCTCTGGTTCCTTCTAAGCAGGATGAGGAGTTTCAGTAACTCTCTGGGCCCAGTGCCGTTGGTGCTTCAGAAGGCTTGGGCCAGGCCCTGGTTCCCCTAGCAGCAGGCGTGTGTGCATTGACTTTCTGCTCTCCTGTTGTTCAGCACGGCTGACTGGCTGCTCCTCCTCCTTGATGTTCCCTGGTCATGTCTCAGCCCAGGCAGCCAGCGTGGCTCGCTTGCCTTTTGGTTGCCTACCTAATGGAATCTGGCTATGGACCTGGCACTCGTAGCAGTCAGTAGAGTGGAGATGACATTTCGCTGCTTCCCTGTGTTATGATGTCTCGAGGGGGAGTCTTGGTTGGACACATATTTCATGTGATAAATGCCATCATCGAGGTGTGTACAGAATGCCAAGAAACAGGAGACCCGGGAAGGCTGTAGCACAGCGGGAGTCAGGCTACCTGCAGGGCAGCCTCAGGGGCCTCCTGAGAAGAGCTGCAGCAAGCAGCAGGGCTCTTCCCAGGAACAGTGTTGGGTCTCGCGTGTTCTTGTGGCAGGGACCCCTCCTTCCTGGGGAGCTGTGGCCATTTGGCGTTTACTGGTCCCTGGTGCTAGCTGCGGGGTGCTGCGTGTTCCCTTTCACCGTGGTGGTTTCCTTGTGCCCTGTGATCGCTTCCTCTGTACATTCCCTTCCGACTAGACAGTTTGCGCTCATCTGTGTTTATGCACAGTTCAGCAGGGACCGTGGAACTTTGCTTGGTGGCCGAAGGCGAGCCCCTCAGAGCCACACAGACTCCTTGGCCCAGAGCCTCCCAGGTCTGTGCCCACCCTTCTCCCTCAGGTGCTGTGGGGGGCTGGGAGCTGCAAATGGGGGACGGAGCTGCTCACCCTGAAGGGCAGCACCGAGAGCGGAGGGGCCGACCACACCCCTGGTATGCAGAGGCCCCACTCTCAGGCCCAGTCCGGATGCTCTTCACTGGTTCTTCAGTGTCCTGTCGCTTTACCTCTTGGGTCCTTTCCCGTGCCTTTGCCTGAGGTGGTCTCCGGCACTCGAGTACGTGTCCCATGGATGATGGGGCACAGCACACAGCACTGCTGGCCTGTGGCCATGTGAGGCCTGAAGCCCTCAGACTGCAGCCTCCCTCCCTCCCGCCTCCTCCAGCTGCCCTGGGTCTGGGGCTGCAGCCAGACCCAGGGGCCCCACCCAGCCTGCCCCACCCCACCCTCTTTGAGTGTCCGCAGCTCCTGGAGTCCCCTGGAGACTTGCTGCTGGAGGAGGGCCCGGCCCTGGGTGACAGTGGGCCTGGGAGGATGGAGGAGCTTGGTGTCCTCCGCAGTGTAGACACCCCTTTGGCTTGGCTGCTCTGCTCAGGGCAGGGCAGGGCAGGGCAGGTGCCCATGGGTGAGGGCTGCTGCCGAGTCCCACCGCCTGCTGATGGGCTCTCATCCTTCCAGTGCTCAGGCAGGCGCTGCGGCAGAAGCACCAGGAAGCCCAGCAGGCCTGCCGGCCCCACAACCTGCCTGTGCTCCAGGCGGCGCAGCAGCGAGAACTAGAGGTACTGGGGGCACAGGCAGGGTGGCCAGCCCGGCTCTCCTGTGGGTACCACCTGGCTCTGCTGACTGGGCTAAGGGGTGCAGGGGGGCTCAGGTGTGGGTGGCTACCCTGGGCCTGAATGGGCCGCTGGAGGCCTAGTGAGTCTCACCAGGTAGCTCCTCCCTGCGGTGCCAGGTGAGCTGGGGCTGGGTGGAGGGTGAAAGCCCACCAGTGCTCCCCTGCACAGCAGCTCCCTGTGGGTTGGGGCCTCCGCAGAGCAGGTGGCCTCGGGGGTGTGGGGGGTACAAGGGCAATGGTGGGGTGATGGAGCCAGCCAGGAAGGGGCCCATCCTTCTCCCAGGGAGCACAGGGACAGCCAGAAACTGGCATTTAACCAACAAGCCAAGGGGCAGGGGGTGCCTGCAGAGACGCGTGTGCAGTCCCAAGGCAGCCCCAGGTCGGGGCATTCGTGGAAGCCCCTTGGAGCCCCACTTCAGGGTTTGGCTGGCAGAGGAGAGGCCTGGGTGTGGTGAGCATGCATCAGTGGTGTCAGAGCTGGTGCTACTGGGGACAGCAGCAGGCACTTGTGTTTGAGCCGCCCTCCCCCTCCCCCACCCATGGCAGGCGGTGGAGCACCGGATCCGTGAGGAGCAGCGGGCAATGGACCGGAAGATCGTCCTGGAGCTGGACCGGAAGGTGGCTGACCAGCAGAGCACACTGGAGAAGGCGGGGGTGGCTGGCTTCTACGTGACCACCAACCCACAGGTCAGTGCCTGGGCCTGCTTTGCCCTAGCCCGAGTGCCTCTGAGCCCTGAAGACCCCATTCCATCTGGGGTTTAACCACTGGTCCCTGGGAATCCAGGCTCAGGGTATAGGGGTGAAGTGGAAGGACTGGGGCTCCAGAAAGGGTTTCCGTGCTGTTCCCAGCACAGAGGCCAGGCCCACTCTCTACAGGAGGGTGAGCCAGCCAGCCATGGGGCCCTGCCCACCCTCCCCAGGCCCACAGGGCCCTCTTCTGCTCTCCTCCCACATGCCATTCTGAGTGGCCCTGCTGGGGGCAGAGACTTAGATTCCACCCCTTCCTGGCAGGCCATGACCAGCTCACAGGATGGTGGCCCCATGGGCTCACTGCCTGGCACCTCTAGGCTGGGGTGAATGGGGCCTGGGTCACTCTGATGCTCATGGGGCCCCTCTGTATCCCAGGAGCTGATGCTGCAGATGAACCTGCTGGAGCTCATCCGGAAGCTGCAGCAGAGGGGCTGCCAGGCAGGAAAGGCATCCCTGGGACTGGGAGGTCGCTGGCAGCCGCCCGCTGCCCAGTGTGACCAGGAAGGCAGCCCTGTCCCACCATAGTCCCAGGCAGCAGGAGGCTGGGCAGAGTTCATCTTCTTGACCTTTGGCCACTACCTTCGCAGCTGCCTGCAGGAGTCCCCCTGCTGAGAGGCCAGGTGGACCCTCGCTGCCTGTCCCCCACCTTCATCTGGGACTTTCTACCAAATGCTAAGATGGTCTCATAAACGGGAGGTGGGCCCAGCCTGCCGCTGTCTGCCTCAGGGCCAGGCAGAGTGGGCATGGGGGTTCTCACACCTTTTCACTCCGCGGGGCAAGTCGCCACCTGCACTGGGGGCCCACCTGAGTGCTTGTTCTGGTCTCAGCCTCTCCCTTGGCAGCTGCAGCCCCCCATGCAGAGGAGGCTCTGAGGCCCAAGCTCTGTGTGACCCAGAGAAATAAAGATGCCTCAGGGTGGCCTGCATGTGGCTTGTGTGACAGCTGTGGGTTCTGCCATACCAGGGCCCTGGTAGGGCCCCCACCTATACTGCAGCAGAGGCCTGCCTGTGGGTCCCTTCCTGGGCTGTGTGCCCAGTTCACCACCCCTCCGCTTGCATGGAGACTGGGGGCCTCCAGACCTTTCCCGCCCCAGCCCTCGTCCTAGGATGCTGTCACTGCCATCTGCATGGGGCCCCCATCCAAGCCCCAGGGCCTGAGGACCACATCCAGCCTGCTTTGTGGGGCTGGGGGCTGAAGAGTGTGTACCTGCCGAAGCCTGGTCAGTGTCCTGTGGGAACCACTAGGAGGAGCCTGATGCAGGTCATGGTTGTGGGGGGCAGGCGGTGTGGAGGACTCAGGATGGCAGGGAATGGTCTGAGGAGGAGCCCCAGGGGGAGGGGTGTCAGGCCCACCTGCAGAGCTTGGCCTCTGCATCTGCATGAGTCCCCTCCATGCTGCCCCGAGCCCAGGGGCCCTGCTGGGTCCTGAGTTGTGGAATCAGGGTTGGGGGTGTCCAGCACCCTGGGTGGCTAGGTCTGCACAGGGCGTAGCATCCAGGAACAGATGACGCTGGAGGCCAGAGTCTGAGCCCCTCCCGCTTGCCGTCCAGAGCTGACCCTGTGTGGGGGCAAGGGCTCTCAGCTGCAGGAACAGTGGTTTATTGACCAGGCAGGCCTCCCCAGCCCGGCCACTGCTCCCCGAGGGGCTTGAGCTCTGTGGGCTGCCCCTGGCAGAAGGCAGACAATCCTCTAGGTCCAAGGACATGCGGGTCACGGAGGTAGAGGCTTGGGCCCACACATCCGAGGAGAGTTCCCGACAGTTCCCAGCAGCTTTCTCAGGCAGGTATCAGGTTCAGCCCACACCCTGGGCGGGGCTGGGAGGCACCTGGCCCACATCCAGCAGCTCTGAAGTGTGGGGTGAAGAACGGTGAATCTGTGTGAGGATGGTGATGGCCTGGAGGGCGAGGGTCCCTGGAGGCCAGGGCTGGGGTGACTGGAGGCCGAGGGTGGGCTCGAGGGTGCTAGGTAGGGCGATGGAAGAAGCTGCCAGTTCGGAGCCGCCGCAAGAGCTCCAGCCACAGCAGCTGCCGCTCCCGACGGGCGCCCTTCATGAGGCTGCTGTTCTCCAGGGCCCGGCGGGACAGGTAGGGCAGCACGTCCATCACCGGGCCGTAGGGCACATACTTGTACACGGGGTAGCCGGCCTGGCCTGCGTGGAGGAGAGATGCGCCATGAGGCCCAGGCCCAGCACCCCACCCCACCACACCAGGGAGGGCCCCACTCACCCAGCGGGAAACTGATCTGGTCACACATGCCTAGCAGCTGGCCAAAATACACCTGGTGGCCAGCGGGATGCAGGCACAGCTCCTCCATCCTGTGCAGGTGAAGCCAGGCGCTGAGGGCCAGTTGCAGGGCACTGCCCCTGTGGCAGGGGTACAGGGCCCCTGTCCCAGCTCTGAGTCTGTCCTGCCACCCCGGGTCCCCCATCTACACTCTCCAGACTTCATCCCCTGGGAGATGGGGCTGGGCTATGGACTCTGCCCGGCCCTGCCCAGTGAGGCCTCTTCCCAGCACGTTCCCAGCAGGACTCTTCTCCCTGGGGAGGCTCGGCCCTTAGCCAGCACGGCCCCCTTCCTGCCAGCCCCACCCCCACCTCTCCACCTCCCTTCTTGGAAGTGCAGCCCTTCCTGGGGCCCTGACCCACCCAGCAGCCTGCCCCACAGCTGCTCTGTCCCACACGGCTGCCACCAGCCCCTGAGTCCTTGGAAGGTGGCTGCTCTGAATGGAGATGTGTTGCAAGCGTCAAATACTCAGGATTTAGGAGACTTTGTAGTAAAATGATGCAAAATGTCACATCGCTTTTCTAAAAGCAACTTGAATACAATTTGAAGTGGTAATATTTCATATATTTTGGGTTAATTAAAATGTATTACTGAAATTCACTTTCCCTTTTAACGTAGCTACTAAAAAATTTTAAATTACAGATGTGACACTGCTCAGATAGGGGGTGGGGACCCTCAACTGTGTCCTGACACCACCCTTTATAGGGTTTTACAAAAATTCGCAGGGTTTGAAATATTCATGCAGTAACAGTTCCGAAGTTTCGTATGTCCAGGCTTCCCAGCACAGCTGGTCTGCACAGCACTGGGGCCCTCACGCCAGGACGAGTTCCACCTGCTCCTCACACGTCACCCGGGTGACTGGCGGGGCCTGTGCTGTGCTTCCCACACCCTCCCCCAACCCACCCCAGCTCAAGCTCCCAGAGTGCCCATCAGCCATAGGCCCTTTCCCTCCATCCCTGGGCTGGGTTGCGGTGTTGGGACCACCCAGCTGAAGCAGGCACCCACCTCTGCCACACTGCCCTGATCTCCAGCTTGTGCCTTCCTCAACCCCATGACATGAAGCCTAGAGCCAGGCTGCCACTGCTGGCTGCCCCCTCCCCTGCTGGTGTGCACAGCCTCTGCCATGTGACTGCGCTCCTCCCAGTGCAGGGCAGCAGCTCACTCCACCTGGCATCTGGCCTTGGCCTCATGAGGCTCTTTGGCCAACAGGGAGGTAGCAGAGGTGACGGCAGAGGCCCGCCCTGTCCAGGCCTTCTGGAAGCCTGAGCCCACCGCACAGCCGAGCCTGGGCTGGCCTGTGGGACACTGGACCCAGGATGCAGTCTCCTTTATTGCCCTCGCTGTGAACGAGGTCACTAGGCCCCGCCGGCCCCAGCTGGTCACAGGTGCGGGAGGGACACGCGCCTGGCCAGTGGCAGAAGCACCAGCTGATCCAGCCTGCCTCTGGCCCATGGAACACGCCGCTGTTCCAGCCTCTAAGTTTGGGGCTGGTTTGTTCCTCGGCCAAAGCCAACTGGGGTTGTTTGAGGGTGGGTGGTGTGGTGGTCTGGGACCGGCACAGGACAGAACAGCCACCGTAGTCTAGAAGCACTTCCCCAGGGGAGGAAGGTTCTAGACCCAGCTCCCCGGCCACCCACAGCAGGGGCACAGAGCTGAAGCCTGCAGGGTTCAATCCTCTCAGGCAGGGTTGTGAGCGTGCTATTGGTGTCCAGTGGGGGAGCCACTGACACAGCAAAATAGTAAGGACAGACTGGTCCCAGGTGGGGTCAGAGGGGAGGAAGCTGAAGCTGGAGAGAGAGGAAGCCCTGCCGAGGGCAGGCTGTCCTTTTAGGGTTGGTAGGTGATATGCCTAGTCAGACTGTGAGTCCACCAGCATTGAGAATCCAACCAGAGGCTGGGAGTCCTGATGGCAAGCTAAGAGGGCCCACCACCAGCTCCCGAGTGCTGGGCACTGCTGGCCACCGGGCCTGTGCGTGTGGACAAAGTGAGTCTGTCCCATCACGGACACATCTATCACGATTAGCGGAGGATCGGGGCACAAAAGGGGGTGTGCTGCCATTTCAGGCCACTAAAAAGCAGCATCATGAACAGAGGCTGAGTGTGGACAGCACTGAATTATTTCTGAGCCGTGAGTCAGCTCCCCGAGCAGGGCCAGGATGTGTCCTGTGGGCTACAGCCCTGGCCCTGCGGCTTCACAGATCCTTGGGGAGCCCCCTCATGCCTCAAGTCCTGGATCTAGGGCACCCTGCCCTGCTGTGGAGTGGAGATCCTGCTCAGCTCCTAGGAAGGCGAGAGCCAGCGAGGCTACTGCCCAGGCCCCTAAGGGTTCTGGGGGTCCCATCCCTGGAAAGACAAAATCTGGGAGGGGAGAGGGGCTTGGACCCCATTGGGGGCATAGCTTGGGCTTAGGCATGAAGTAAGACCAGAGTGACGGTACTGGAATATCCAAAAACGGACTTCACCTAACTTCTGTATTTGACTTGTTAGAATTCTACCAAAGTTGTGCTCCATGGGACGAACATTTAAAGAGAAAACAAACCATTACATTTCAGATGTACTGAAAATGTTAAGGGAACGGCCAGGCATAGTGGCTCACACCTGTAATCCTAGCACTTTGGGAGGCCGAGGTAGGTGGATCACTTGAGGTCAGGAGATCAAGACCAGCCTGACCAACATAGTGAAACCCCATCTCTACAAAAAATACAGAAAGTAGCTAGGTGTGGTGGCATGCACCTGTAATCCCAGCTACTAGGGAGGCTGAGGCAGGAGAATTATTTGAACCTGGGAGGTGGAGGTTGCAGTGAGCCAAGATCTTGCCACTGCACTCCAGCCTGGCTGGCGACAGAGCAACACTCTGTCTCAAAAAAAAAAAAAAAAAAGAAAGAAAAAAAAAGAAAAAGAAAAACGTGAAGGGAACTGCTTATAAATGAGGCAGTGCTCTGGAGGCCTCCTGAGGGACTGGATTCCAACACTGCGTTTGTACCTTTCCCGAGCCATGCGAATCCCTAATGAATTTTTTTTTTTTTTTAATTTGGAAGTTTAATAAGTCCGTTTCTAAAAGGCTGGGTGTACAGTGGCTTACACATGTAATCCCAGCACTTTGGGAGGCCAAGAAGGGAGGATCACTTGAGGCCAGGAGTTTGAGACCAGCCTGGCCAACATGGTAAAACCCTGTCTCTGCTAAAAATACAAAAAATTGACCAGGTGTGATGGCACACACCTGTAATCCCAGTTACTTGGGAGGCTGAGGCATGAAGAATTGCTTGAACTTGGGAAGCGGAGATTGCAGTGAGCTGAGACCACGAGATCATGCCACTGCACTGCAGCCTATGTGACAGAGCAACATTCTGTCTCAAAAACTAAGAATAGTAATAATAATAAAATGTTACTTTTAAAAACCAAAGTGACTGCAAAGAGCCTTTGCGCGCTCATGGTGCAATGTTCAGAACCACAGCAGGCCCGGGCCTGCGGGATGCAAGCTGCCCTCCAGCTCATTTCACCAACCTACCCCGCAAATGCCCAGCTGCACCCAGCAGGTCGCTCTGCCCGCCCTGAGCTCTGCGCTGCTGCCAATTCTCCCCAACCAGAGGAGCCCACACCTCGGGCTGGGGTGACAGTGCAGGGTGGGGCACACCAAGCTCGGGGTGGGGCGACAGTGCAGGGCGGGGCACACCTAGCTCGGGGTGGGGCGACAGTGTGCGGCGGGGCACACCCACCTGCGCAGCGTGAAGCGCACTGAGTCCTCGTTGTGGGTAGCCACCATCACCTTGGCCTTGGCGTTGTGCTTCAGCTCCTCCAACACGTGGTCCAGGCACCTGTGGAGAGTGCCATGTGAGCCCAGTTCCAGGCCTGCGGTCGCCTGTGCCTCTCGTTACCAGCTGCACAGGGAGGAGGCCAAGACCAGGCCCAGGGCCATCCAGTGAGCCGGCTCTTTCCAAGGGTGCCCACAGCATCGGGAGGAATGGGAGCAGCATCTGCCCCTCCCAGCACCTCATGAAAAAGACCAGCAACCAAGAACAAATGAACGATGTCTGGGGCAGACAATTCGCTCAGAATGAGGTGGGGAGCAGCATCCCTGCATCTAATGTGCAGTGACTCTAGACCAGCCCAAACATGCCCATGAGCCTCATCACAGACACTGCTTTGCTTCTGGGGAGGGGTCCTGCGGTGCGCCCCTGGCCCTGCAAGGAAATGAAAGGGAAGCAGGTCCGTGGGCCACAGTGGGGGTGGGTGGGCATCCCGGGGCACCAGGACGCCCACGCGGTATGGCCCTCCTGCAGAGAGGACACTCAGCAGGCGTGACCATGCGCACATTCTCCCTGACCCAGCAAGTCCATTTCCAGGAACCTAGGACAGCAGCATCCTCTGACACAGAACCCCCGGCTGCCCGTGTGTACTACAGAGGGTGACAGGATGTCCAGCGAGTCCCTGTGACAACCACCAGACTGAAAACCAGTAAGATCAAAGATGCTGGACACACAGCCCTGGGCACCCCATGCTGGCAGTTAATAGTGCCGCTCTGCAAGCCCCCACAAAGGGACCCAGATGGAATGCAAAATGAAAAACGCATTGGGCAGAGGACACACTGTACAATGCAAACAATGCTGCAGATGTGTGCACTGTGGCACATGCCAACCAAGAGACACTTGGGGTCTTTGCTGTGCAGCATGCACACACACCTCTAAGGAAAAGCCCACGGTCGGTTGGCCTGTGCTGCATGAAAAGATCACCGAGAGAACTAGAGAGTAAAACGAGGCGCAGAGCAGCTGACGGGCGATCCCACTGCGGGAACTGAAAAGCACAGGCTGAGCCTTCGGGGCAGGGGAGCCGGGCGCTCGTGCACATCTCCGGATCTAGGTGTCTGCAGGGGCCGGCTCAGGGAACGGTGGCTGAGTTTGCTTTTTTCAATTGGCATTTTTATATTTATAAAAGAATAACCTTAATGGTTTTTGAAAAAGCAATACATAACACAATAGCAGAGGAAATATCAGTTCTGACCTCAGGACACATACAGCTGCCACTTCTGCTGGGGGCTTCTGGCTCCAGCAGGGTGGGACACGGCCAGCCCCAGCAGCTGGCTCTCCAAGCCCCTCCCTCAGTCCCGGTTTCTTGGCACCACACCCTGGGAAGACGGAGTTGCGGGAGACCTGCGCACCTGTGGTACATGGTGTTGGTGGCCTCGTACGTGGGGTTGATGGGGTCCTCATAGCCGATCTCTGCCGCACGGGCTCGCTCCTGGGCCATGTATGCGCCCCGCACCAGCTTGGACCCAAAACACCAGCCCTCACGGCGAGCCAGCTCCACATCCAGGGTCACATTGTCATAGGCATCCTGTGGGGCCAGGGCCAAAAGTCGCAGGGAGCCTGGGCAAGCCCAAGGGACAGCAGGATGGGGCCTTCCTGGGCCCACGTGCCCCTAGGTACAGTCACCAGAGCTGGGCAGCAGCTGCCTGGGGAGGTGCCACTCAGGGCACCTGGAGCAGGTGTGGTTGAGGATGGGCCCCCAATCTCTGTCCCCAAGGGGAAATGGCAGTGAGGACATCTGCAGCCTCCTGTGTGGCTGGTGGACAGCCCTGTGGGGGCAGCTCAGGCACCGGTAGCCATCGCGTGCTCTAGACTCCCAGCCTGACTGTGGGAGGGGTGTATACTGCGGGCTCCTACCTGGACCCCTCCCCATGCCACCCCGTGTCCTCCGGGTACCCGGCTCACCCCTGAGAGCTCTGGACCTGCTAGGGTCCCTAAGCAGCCCGGGGTCCTCAGGCTGGGCTGGGGGGTCCTGCCTTGAAGCACCCCTGGGCTCCCTGAATACATGTGACATCCTAGGTGAGTCCTTCTGGCAAGGGCCCAAAGCTTTCATCAGGTTCTTAGAGGGGTGCTCAACTGAAAACGAGCTTGAGGATACGATCATGTGAAGCCTTCCAAGTTGGGGGTGTCGGGCACATCTAGCGGATCCTCATAAAGATTGCTGTCTTCCTCCTGCTCATTAAACACTCTTGGCTGGTTCTGAGAAGAGGAGGGGCTGCAGGCAGCAGGCATCAGCAGAGACCCTTCTTCCTCCTCCGAGGTCACCTCGGCCTCAACCTCCTCTGCAGCCCTGGCTGTGACCACCGCCCAAGGGCCTCTTTCCTGGACCCTGGGGTCCGCCCTGGGTGAGCTGTGCTGTAGAAGACCCCAACGGCCCCTCGGGGGCACAGCCCGCTCTCTCTTCCAACCCACAAGCTCCCCGGCAGGTGCTCAGCATGGAACCAGGCAAATACCACGGAGCTCAGATGAGAGGAGCCCCTCCTGTGGCCGGCCTCCAAGCCCCCAGGCAGGCAGGCAGGGGCTGGGCGGGAGCCGACCTTGAGGTAGCACTGGTGCGTGCTGAAGATGAGCGGCCTCTCCACGTTGAACCTGCGCTGCATCTCCAGCGTCAGGCGGCTGATGGCCGGCTGGAAGTAGGTCTGCTCGGCGTCCACCATCAGCCGCACACCCACCTCTGTGGCTTTCTGAGAGGCACAGGGGAGGGGAGGGGGAGCAGCTGTTGCTCAAGTGAGGCAGGTGTCCTCCTCTGCATGAGCCGCAGGTCCCCAGGGCCCCAGCCCTCTCCCTGAGCAGGGCGGCTCACCTTGGCCAGGACGTCCATCCGCTGCAGCATCCTCGTCAGCTGCAGCTCCTCCTCCTCAGTAAACTGGGACAGCAGGGGCTCCAGTTGTCCTGTCTAGGAGCACAGCACACAGTCAGGCCACAGCAAGGGCTGGAAAGTGCCACCCCGGGGCCCAGGATAAACCTCTCTTACTGTTCCCGGCCCACAGGAACCCTCTCACCCCCCCGACGCAGGGCTGGGAGGGAGGGCCAAGGAGACACAGCAACAGTGTCCTGGAAACCCCAACCCAGCCAGTGCACTGCCCTACGTGGGGCCTGGCGGCGCCACGACGAAGCTCAATGCCCATGCCAGTGGGCCCCAGGCTCAGTCCAGGCCTGCACCCCGAAGCATGTACTCTAACAGCCTCCCCACTTCCCACAGAGGCCCCACCATTGTGGGAGGGCCCCTGCAGCTCCCATGTGACACGGAGGAAGTGAACACGGATCACCCAATCGTCAAACAGAAGGGCTCCACCCAGAGCAGGGAAAGGGCTCAGGAGAAGAACCCCTGGCTACAGGCAGCCAGGACGGCTGTGCAGCACTCGCTGACACGTGGCCGGAGACCAGGGCACACTCCAGGATGAGGTCTTCAAGGAGCTGGTGCTCAGAGGCCATGGGGACCCATCCTGCAGCGTCCCTGCAGCACCGGGCCTGCCACTCACCCCTTTGCTGGCCCCAGCAGCCCTGTCTCACTGGGCACAAAGAGTACCCCTCGATCCCTTGCTGCACCATGCTAACGTCTCCGACAGCTGGCGGACTTGGTGCACGGCCGCACTGTACATGCTGCACCCCGAGGCTCTGGGTCGGGAGCCCTAAGTTTGAGGCTGGGCCCTTAGTGGACTGGGGCTAGATGTCTGATAGAAAGCTGCCTCTGCAGAGTATCTTCTGAAGGTGATTCTGTTCTTTCTTCCAATCCCTGCTTGGATTTCAAGCAGTCTGCCAGTTCCTGGGCCCCCTCCCATAGGCAGAGAAGTCTCATTCCTCTCCCCTAAGCATACAGGCTGGCCTGGTGACATGCTTCTAACAAATGGTTAGAACTCGGCAGAAAAGCACTGTGTGACTCCTGAGGCGAAGCAGGAAAAGGGGACCCAGCTTCTGCCTGGCTCTCACGTCTCAGGGGACACTGGCCCTTAGAACCCAGCTGCCATATTGGGAGAAAGCCCAAGCCCCAGCCAGCACCAACTGCCAGACATGTAAACAGGTGCCTCCAAGAGGACCCAGGGCCACCACTCTGTGGGTACTGCTACCCAGGAGACCCCACAGGAGGACCGCCCCGCCGAGTCCCGACAACCCCAGAACCATGAGGGAGAAGCAGAGAAACTTGCCATCTCAGGCCTCTGAAGTTTGGGGTGACCTGGTGCACAAGGACAGATGACTTGGGGAAGGCCCCCAGACACCCTCTCCTGGTACCTCAAGGCTCTGCAGGGGTCTCTGTCCCACCAAGCCTTCTGTGGACACTAGTGGGTTTCTCTTCTTCCCCCTGGATCATAGGGGCTCTGTGGGGCCATAGTGTGCCGTGATCTTGGTCATGTTACGTCCCCAGGGTGGGCAACAGGAGACACTCGGGGCACACTGAGCTCCCTTCTTAGCCCAGCGCCCTGCTGAGCTGGGCCTCACAGAGGAGCGGAGGTGTCACCTGTGCGTTGGGGACCACCAGGTGCTTGGAGAGCTTGGTCCTGCTGCCGACGAGGCTGCTCCAGTCCAGCAAGTCCACGGTGCTGTGGGGGGAGGTGCATCAGCAGAGCGGGTGACCCCACCTGTGGGTGCCAGGGTCTGGTGGACACTCCAGGCCCAAACCAGTCCATTCACCAACCACCACAAAACCCACCTTGGTGTGCATTTTTAAAAGACAGAGAAAATGTAAATATTATCTGTTTACAAATTTCAAATCAGTGGCATGCAGTGGCTCAAACTTACAATCCCAGCATTTTGGGAGGCTATGGTGGGCAGATCCCTTGAGCCCAGGAGTTTGAAACCAGCCTGGGCAACATGGTGAGGCCTGGTCTCTATGAAAAATACATTCATTTAAAAAACTGAAAACCAAAACACAAACAGTCCTGCATCTAGGCAGCTACGAAAACACTTGAGTACCCTCGGGCTGTTTCGAGCTTGTGGAGAGGCCGAGCAGAGGCAGCCAGGCCGGAGGTGGACGCTGCTCCAGGGAACCAGGGTGGACACAGAGGGCATGGCTGGCAGTGTGTGAGGCGATGGCTCACTACTGCCCCACCCTGTCACCTCCCCACTTCAACTGGGGGTCCTGGTGACCTCGGTCCCAGCCCCTGGTTCACAGGATGGGATGTGGGGCTCTGACCCTTCCCCTGCCAACGTGAGCTCCAGGGAGGGCTGAGGGTGACACCTGTGCTCTAGACCCAGATAATTCTAGAAGGAGCCCTCTCTGGGGTCTCTGCTGGCCCTACGTCTGTCTACCTTGCCCAGCCCAGCCCAGCCCCAGCCTCTGGGACTCTAAGGCCGTCAACTCCTGCTGTGTGAAAAGCAGTTCCCTCAGCCCTGTCATCCCTCTCAGGCGCGGCAGCCAGGACTGGAACACACTGCTGGGGCTCTGCTGGAACCATGGCTGATGGCCACATCCTCTCAGTCTGGGGGCTGCTCTCACCCAGACACTCCCAGGGTCTCTGCTGTGAACCAGTCCTCGATCTCAGCCCTGGATGCGATGCCCATCTTTGTGATGCTTTCCTTGAGAAGTGAGAAAGCCTGGATCAGTCCCATTCAGCCCCATTTTATCCTTCCCCCAACCCATTGGCCTCTGGTGCCATGTTTGGCTTTATTCATTGTGAGGGAGAATGGGATCCATTTCTGGTTTCTTTCTGCTGTACAGACAGGTCTAGTCCCACCCTGATGCTGATACACGCCCACTCCCTGCCCGGCTGGCTCCCCAGCCCTCCTGCCAACATCTCCTCTTTCTGTTCAGAGTCCCTCAGACCTCTTCCTCCCCAGGCCAACCCCAGGAGCTGCGGAGTGAGCCCCATGCCCTGGATGAGTTCCCAGAACCACCTCAGACCACTGCCCGCCATCCCCCACTGCGGGCACCCAGAGTGCTCTCGCCCTCACAAGCCCCAGGAAAGAACAGGGGGTGGGGGTGGGGGTCCCACCTGCAGCACCGCCAACTCCAGCTTGGTGTCCATGGCAGCCAGGCCCGCCTGCCCTTGCTCCGCAGCCATTTGGTGAAAGAAGCATCTCCACTTGGTCAGCACATCTGACAACCGCAGCTGCAAATGCAGGCCTGAATGCCATCTGCACACACCCCCTGCCCGCCCCAGTCCCCCACACAGCCCCTGTGGTCAGCTCAGGCCTCTAAGGCACGGGCACCTGCACTTTTAGTGGATGCCCACAGCTGCCCTGAGGACTTGCCCAGCGCCAGACTCTACAGGTGAAAGGTTACAGCCCTTACCAGAAACTGGGGTCTCCCCAGTAGCGTGAGTTTAATGGCTAAGAAGCCGTCATCGCTGGCTGCACCTGTCAGAAGCCACAGGAAAAGCCTTGAGGGCCCTGAGAGGCGCACAGAGGCAGCACAGGGCAGGACTGGGAGGGCTGCGGCCTGGCCAGCCCACAGCAGGCTCCTGGTTCCACCCCACTCTGCCCGTGAAGGCCTCACACATGGCGCTCCAGAGGCCCTGTGGAGATAGGAGGGGGCTCCGTGGCGGGGTTTGTGTTTGCCATGCAGGTGCGGGACACCAGTGGGCACAGGAGCTGCCCGTCCCCTGCCGAGCAGCCCCCATAGGGTTCCTGCCTCAGTTTCCCCCCGTGACACCAGCACCACAGGCTGCTCACACATGAGTCACAGGACCCAGAAACACCAAGCATAGCTAAGACATCCCCTCGGGGCCCTCTTGCTCAGGCCTCCGCCCCAGAGCCAGGCTCTCCCAGGAAGCTCTGATCCAAGTGCAGGCTCCTGCCCCCGGGCAGCTGGCTCTGCAGTCCCACCCTGTCCTCCAGGCCGGCCCTCCTGCAGCATTCTTGCCCCTGACACTTCTTTCCAAGCAACACCAGAAATATTCCTTGAAAGTAAAAGCAGATCTTACCATCTCATCGTGTTTAACACCACCCCAAAGGAGCATCTGCTTCTGCAGGGCCTTCTCCTTCCATCTGCCCCGGCAGAACAGGAAATGGGCAAGGAGAAGATACCCCTCACCCTGATGGCCCAGCATTCAGCTGGCCACTTTGACCCCCTCCCCAGTCAGGAGGCGGCTTCCGAGCATTGCTCAGAAAGGCCAGGTGCAGTGGCATGCGCCTATAATCTCAGCACTTTGGGAGGCCGAAGTGGAAGGTTCGCTTGAGCCCAGGAGTTTGAGACCAGCCTGGACAACACAGCAAAACACCATCTCTACAAAAAATATGAAAATTAGCTGGGTGTGGTAGTGTGCATCTATAATCGTAGCACTTTGGGAGGCCAAGGCGGGGTGATCACTTGAGCCCAGGAGTTCCAGGCCAGCCAGGGCAACATACTGAGACCTCATGGTTTTTTTCCTTTTTTGGGACGGAGTCTCCCTCTGTCGCCCAGGCTGGAGTGCAGTGGTGCTATCTCAGCTCACTGCAACCTCCGCCTCCCAGGTTCAAGCGATTCTCCTGTCTCAGCACCAGGAGTAGCTGGGATTATAGGCACATGCCACCACACCCAGCTTATTTTTTGTATTTTAGTAGAGACAGGGTTTCACCATGTTGCTTGGGCTGGTCTCAAACTCCCGAGCTCAGGCAGTCCACACACTTCAGCCACCCAGAGTGCTGGGATTACAGGCATGAACCACCATGCCCGGCCGTGACACCTCCTTACAAAAAAAAAAACCCAAAAACAAACAAACAAACAAAAAACACAGCCAGGTGTGGCAGCGTGCACCTGTAGACCCAGCCACTCAAGAGGCTGAGGTAAGAGCATGGCTTGAGCCCAGGAGGTCTAGGCTGCAGGGAGCTATGATCACACCACTGCACTCTAGTGTGGGCGACACAGCAAAACCCAGTTTCATTTGGGGAACAAAAAAAAAGAACACAACAGACATGGGACCCACTGCCGTGATGGAGGGCTGCTGGGGCCAGCATGGGGCTATGCAGGGTCAGGTGTATCTCTAACACTGAAGGACACTGGGCCTTGGTGACCTCTGGCTTCTCTCACCCTGGAAGCAGCTGCTCCCCCCACCTCTGGTCCCCAGAGTCGGGGTCATGGAGGGATTCACAGGCAGAAGGTGCGGCACCAGCTCCCTGAACAGAATCTCCACCCGGGGCTAAGGGTGGCTCCACGGCTGACACGGACCAACTTCTTGCGACTCCTGGTCCTGACCCTCAGCCAGAGAGAAGGATGGGGAGCATGAGGCAGGGTCAGGGAACAGGGAGCTTGGGTGCGGGCAGGCGGTGCCTTCTTGGAGACAGCGGGACCCCTCGGGAAGGGGCTGAACAGTGTGGCACCCATGTGAGACCGGATCCCAGCCCTCTGGCTCCTGCACCAGCTTGGCATTCACCCACCAGCACCTCCATGAGCCCAGGGGTCCGCCCCGGCCAGGGCATGGCAGGGGTATAGCTAGCAAAGAGGAGGCCCCACCTGAGGCCTCAATGCAGCTCAACAATGTCTCCATGTGGCTGTCGCACTTGGCCTCGTTGGCGTAGAAGTAGGTGCGGGCACTGATGGCGCCATCCCTGCGGTCCCCGAAGGCCCGGTGGGCCTGGTATTGCTTCTCCCGCTTATTCGTGCCTGGAATGGTGAATGCACAGCCTGGGCACAGCTCCAAACGCCCACCCCAGCACCCACATGCCAACGTCCCAGAGCCCCTGCCCCTCAGGAGGGCTCCAAGGGCAGTGGCCTTTTCAGCTTGGCGCCGGCACTGCGCTGCCCCGTAACTCCCATCCCCAAGCCCACCCTCCCGTCGGCACCAGGCTCTTCCACCCGGAGCGCTACATCTCCCTGCTAAGCCTCCTCATGAGGCAAGGACGGCAGAGCCTCCTTACAAAGGCCTGGGTCCCCCAGGAGGCTGTGAAAAAAAAGCAGGGCGTCTCTGTCTTCAGATGCTTGTGAGTATGTCAGAGCCCAGAGCAACAGGGCAGGTGCCCTGGACATAGGAACCCGGGTACCAACTTGTGTCCCAGCCTAGCCCCTCCCGAGCCACCAGGCAGTGTGCAGGGCAGGGAGGGGGAGAGTGTCTGTTCATGCAAGGGGGCCTCTCACTCACCACTGCCACTCCTCTCCGCAGCTGAGGGGCAGGACCTGTGGGAAGGAGAGGGAGGGCAAAGGTCAGGGTCACAGCACCTGGGCCCCAGACACAGGCAAGTTCCCACTGAGGCTGCCTGGAGGGCCTCACCACAACCCCAGGGGAGGGCAGGCTCCAAGGGCAGGCCCTGGCCCCACCCTATCCTGGGGTGGAACACCCTATCCTGGGCCAGGGAGGGACCTCAGTTTATGGGCTGTAGTGTCCTAAGGTCTCAGGAGCCTGGGGCTCCTTGTGGGTGGAGAAATCCAAAGGATATGCCTGAGTTCTCTGAACAGCCCAGGGCTGGCCCCAAGTAGAGGAGCGTTCCTGGTTCCAAGACAGAGCCAGCCAGGGCTGAGAGGAACGGAGGCGGGAAGACACGAGCACACAGAGGTCCCCAAATCCCCAGCAAGGCCCCCTTCCTCAGTCCTCCACCCGAGAGCCAGGGTCTCCAGGCACCACCGATGCAAGCGCCAGCTCCTGCCCTGCACAGCTGGCCCTGCAGCCCCGCCCTGTCCTCCAGGCCGGCCCTCCTGCAGCATTCTTGCCCCTGGCACTTCTTTCCCGAGCAACAACCAGAAAAATTCCTTCAACGTGAAAGCAGATCTTACCACCTCATCTTGTTTACCACACCCCCCTCCAGGTGCCTGTCACTTCCTAGTAATGCCAAAAGTCCTGGGCCCCTGGCTTGGACACCTCGAGACCAGTGAGGCCAGGATGCAGGCTGCCCTCAACGAGGCTGGCCACGCTCTGCTCAGCCAAGCCCTTGTCCTTCCTGCAGGTGACTCTCCATCCCTGCCTGGCCAGCACCCTCGTGGCCCACCGGCCCCTCCCTCCTCTAGGGTACCTGGTTCCCCTCTCTACTGGCCCCGCACCCCTGCCAGAGGCGCCGTGAACACCCTCTTTCTCCTCCTCCTCATGGCCACAGTCTGCTTGCTGGCACTTGGTTTCGTTGCTGTGTCATTCAGGCTAACAAGAGTGGCTCTAAAATCTACTGTGACAAAGTGACCACGGTCTCCCTGGCCCCAGGAGCAGCTCTGTGGGTCATCTGACTTTGTATTCAAAGCCTGATGGAGTCAGTGGCCATGGAGAGAGCTCGGCTGCATGGCCAACAGGATCCACAGCCTCCCTGAGGCTCCCCAGAGGTGCTTGGACCCATGGGGGCAGCTCTGCCCACACTCACAGGAAAGGACAGGGCACCCCTCAAGTCCTGGGAGGAGTAAAGGCAGAGCAGTGGTCAGTGAGCCGCACCCGAGAGGTCTCCATGTCAAGGGGTGTGAGGTGCCCACTTTCCACCTAGCTGTTCAAGGAGCAAGCCCTGTGCCAGGTGGTCCCACCAGGAGGCCTTCCCTCCCATCCACTTCTGGGCAGCCCCACATGGGCAGGGACTCCCCACATGCTGCCAGGGCCCCTGAAGCTACAGCCCAGGAATGGGAGCTGGCAGGCAGATATGCTCTGACTGCCTTGTGCTGACAAAGCGAAGTAAGTGAAGAGAGTGGAATGTCACCATGTGACTAGGGAACAGGCAGGCAGCTCATGACCTGGGACAGGGAGCTCCTAGGGCCCCTGGCTTGGGCACCTCAAGACCAGTCATGAGGTCAGCCCCAGGACCTTCACTCCGAGGCACAGGTACAGCCAGTCAAAAGCCATCCCCAGGCCGGGCGCGGTGGCTCAAGCTTGTAATCCCAGCACTTTGGGAGGCCGAGGCGGGTGGATCACAAGGTCAAGATGGTGAAACCCCGTCTCTACTAAAAACACAAAAAAGTAGCTGGGCATGGTGGCACGTGCCTGTAATCCCAGCTACTCAGGAGGCTGAGGCAGGAGAATCGCCTGAACCCAGGAGGCGGAGGTTGCGGTGAGCCGAGATCGCGCCATTGCACTCCAGCCTGGGTAACAAGAGCGAAACTCCGTCTCAAAGAAAAAAAAAAAAAAAGCCATCCCCAAGGGGGACGCATTGTCTATGCTAAGGCCGCCCCCACAGGGAAGAGGCGGGCACGTGGCACTGGCAGTCATGTGATGTTACAGGACGAAGGGTGAACTGGTGGATGTGGGGCCCTGATCAGGTGGGGACCACGTGGCAATGCCTCATTAAAGCCGGGACCCACCTCATGCTCTCCCAGCCCCACCCTTCATCACACCCAGGGCACAGTCTATGGAAGAGCACATGCTCGCACACGTGGCCACAACCCAGGACACAGAGGAGGGAAGAGTGACAAGGGGACATGGGGCAGAGGAGGACAAGCAAGAGGGCATCTTCAGAGACAGCAGGAAGACCCTGACCACCCCCTCAGCCTCTACCGAACTCAGCTCTGGGTGGCTGTCCCTGGTGATGTGATGCCTGTTTGAAACAAGCAGAGCATGGGGTCCACATCCCACCCTTGTCCAACTCTCTCCTGGAGGGAAGCCCAGCAAGCCCCCTCCTACCTGTACCTCCCTCCCCAGCTCCCCTAGCCCCTGCCTCCAGCCACTTGCTCAGGACACACACTGCACACATATCCCAAGTGAGCTGCCCCAGCCTGGGAACCAAGGCCCAGACCCTGCCTCCAGCCAGCCCTGGGCCTGCACAGCCAGACCGATGCCCCATCCACCCGCTAGGGTGTTCCCTCACAGCCTAATCACCAGGAAGATGCCTTGGCCCTGCCCCATCCCCAAGCCCTCAGCCTGCTTGGAGGCCCCCTGGGACTCCTCTCCTGGGGTCGGGTGGGCCCTGACCTCTGGGAAGCATGGTCCCACCCATCTCTGGGTGGGCAATGCCCTCCTGCACCTCCAGCTCCCACCTCCTTCTTTCTCGGGAGCACTGCTGGGACTTGCTTCGCTATGCTCTCCGACGCCCCTACCCTCCTTGGGCCTCTCAGGGTTAGGCCAGCACCACCCACATGGCCTTAATTTGGGGCCGTGACCGCACCGTCTCTCCCCAGAGCAGAGCCCATGGGCCTTGTGACAGGAAGGTAGGTTAGGAAGGCAGATCTCTAAGCAGTTCCCTACACTAGGGTCTGCGTGACTGGTCACTCCTGGCCAGGCAGGCCACGCTGCCGTGTGGACATCAGACCAGTGCTTGCAAGCCCAGCTCTACCCCCGAGGCTCAGGCCCCTCTGAAGGCACAGAGCGGCAGAGCTGGGTGGGTGTCCTCACCACGCACCCCTGTGAGGACAGGAGAGAACCCCACCCACTTCCCAGAGCTGGAGCAGGGCCCCTGCAGACAGCAGCCACCAGCAGCAACAGAGGTGCAGCCTTTGCAGGGCAAGGGACTCGGGCTCCTAAGGGCACAGGTGCCCAGTCCCCTGGCAGAGGGGAGGCCCGCCAACTTCCAAACACTCAACCTGCAGGGCAGGGAGGAAGCCCAGCAGGACCACCCTGGGAAAGGAGTCTTTTCACACCAGAGGCGCCTGAGAGGAAAACCCCATTGTGAAATGAGGTCCCTACCAGATTCCTGAGGACACACAGGCCATTGGTTATTCAACAGGCAGCTCAGCAAAGGCTGCAGCCAAGGGCCCAGGCAGCTGTGAGGCCCACAGGGCCAGCTAGGAACACAGGGGGGTGCAGGGACTGGAGCACCCCACCTTCAAAACAGCCAATCACAAGGCAGGGGCTGGGCTCTGCTGGCCAATCCTCCCTGGGCAGCTGGTGGCCCGCATGCTGAGGCAAGCCATGGACATTCCGTTCCCAGGGCTGGAGGCCTCTTGCGACTGCCTTTCGCTCCCCTTCCCAGGTCAGCCACCTGGGGAGGGGCAGAGCAAACACCAAGGCCTGACAAGGTCCACAGACGGCCTGTCCTGAGCCTCAGGTGGGTCAGGCCCAGCTGCCGTCAGGGTGCAGGAGACCCAAATAAAATACATAGGGAGACACAGGAAGATCCCATCTTTACAAAAAAGAAATTAAAAATTATCCAGGTCTGGTGGTGCATGCCTGTGGTCCCAGCTACTCAGGAGGCTGAGATGAAAAGATGACTTGAGCCCAGAAGGCTTAGCCTGCAGTGAACCACACGCCACTGCACCCCAGCCTGGGCAAGAGCAAGACCCTATTTTTAAAAAAATCGTTGATAAGAAAACAAAACAAGAATAATATTTTGTCACACAAGAAAATTATATGAAATTGCAATTACTGTGGCCGTCCTAAGCCAGAATGAAGCCATTGTGGCAGAGAAGGTGTGGTCCAAGGCTGAGAGTCTGTGCTATCTGGCTGTTTACACAAGCGTTTGCTGACCTGATGGAGGAGGCTCCACTACAGCCTCTCTTCTGCAGGGATTCCTGACCCCCAGGCAGGTCCCACTGCCTGACCCTACAGGGGCCCCAGCCTGCCCTGCAGGTGTGGAAACTCCCAGGCCTGGCCCTTGCCCCAGCATCAGTGGAGAAGTGAAGTGAAGTCAGGGGCAGTGTGGCAGGCCAGCCTGGAGTCTGCTCCTAGAGGTCACTAACCTGATACAGAGACTCCTCACTGGACAGTGAGTGCAGATGGCAGTTGGTATCACCCTGACCCACTCTCCTGGGCATCAGGGCAGAACAACAAGACCATGTTGCCCTCTGCTTCTTGGAGCAGTGGCTGGTTCATGGGAGATCAGGCGAGACCAGCCATTCTTTGCGAAGGGCTTGGTGCATGCGCTGGTGCCTCTGCCCCACCAGGCAGTGGGCTAGATAAAGCCAAGGGCCATTCTGTGCTCAGCCTCCTCAGGCCCCACGCACACCAGGCCTCCCCTGAAAGCCCACGGTTGCCATCCGCCTGAAGCAAAAATGCAAGAACTCCAGGCAGAACCCAGGAGGGTCGTCGGTATTTGGGCTGACCAAGCCCTCCTAGCCATGGCCTCTGCCCAGCTGAGGCTAAAGCCCAGCAGCTGGACATGCCCCAGCTGCTCCCACTGGGTGCTCCGGGGTCATCATCAGAGCACCCACAGACACCCAGCAGGCCTTACTCCATCTCCCCGTGCGCAGCCTCCTCGGGGCTCAGGTCTTCCTCCACTCCGTAGTCCAGGATGGTGCCAACGCCGAAGGCCCTGTTGTGCCGGATCAAGGGCTGGATGGACTCCTGGTCCTCGCCGGCTACGAAGTGCCCATAGAAGGTCATCTTCATCAGCTTGTTGAATAGCCTCTCACCTAGAAGTTTCCTGGCAACATACAGCAGCTGAAAGGCAAAGGGAAGCCGCTGTTCTGGGCTGCCTGGACTTCCCTTCCCCAGAAGGGCACCTCTCTCGTCCCCGACCACCACACGTGACCCCAGCCATGCAGCCTTGATACGCTGATGGGCTTTCAGGGTTGACTTCGTGGTGAAGACCACCCGAAGCTGCTTGCTTCTCCACTCTGTCTATCACTCCAGTTCCCACCCAGGGCAGAGAGGCCACGGGAGGTGCTGCCTGCTTGCCTGAGCACACTGTTCCCTGACAACCACTTGGCAGATAAAAAGGAGAACGGCCGGCCTCCCTGGGGACAGCAGCGGGCGTTTTGAGGCCATCCTATGTATCCGTACCTTGGCGGTTCTGCTGGGGAAGAGGAGAATCTAACCTGACTTTCTAGTACTTGAGTGCCTAGATTTTTCAATGTTTTGTTTTCTTTTATCCAGAGTCCCTAAAACAGTGTGACTGACACGTGGACAGCCCCAAACAGATGCTAAATAACAAACGTGTGAAACTCAGGCTGGGTCTGTGCCCAGCTCGAGGGAGGCATGCCCTGGTGACAAAGACAATGAGCTAGGTGACCATCCACAGGGACTGTGAGATGATGCCCGCCCCGTAATCCACGGGCGCTTCAGGGTCATCTGGGGCTGACCAGCCACTCTGACAGAGGCGCCCCTGAGGAAGACATTGCCCAGGAACTGCTCGGCTGTCTCCTCCAATCACATTTTGCCACATTGCTCATTTGGATGTCCCAAGCTGCCATGCACTACGCACCTTTTATGGGCTAAACACAACTAAAGGAAACCAACCAGAATCTCACAACCAGGTGGTAAGGGAACCCCAAAGGGAAAGGAGGGACTCCGCCTATGGTTCAGGACAGGGGGATGGGGCAGTGCCTGCAGGGTGGGCCAGGGGTATTTACTAACCTAGATGCAGGAGTGGGGCTTGCCAAGGAGGAAATGGCATGGAGAACTGGGGGAGCTCCAGCAGAGGAGAGCCAGGGCTGGAAGGACAGGGACAATGACAGGCTGCTGGGAGGGCAGGGCTGAGTGCCATGCTCAGAAGCACACCTCCGCCCTGTGTCTGCCGCCCCTGCTAACCAGCCCCAACACAGGAAGAGCCCGGGATTTCTCAAACCCGATGGATACTTGAACTCTGTTTTTGTGGGGAGCATCTCTTGAGACCATCATTTCAGGAACGACTTCTAGTCTAAGCAAAAGCATTAGCGAGTCAAACACTGTTGCCCCCGAGCCAGCCCTGAGCACTCACACGCAGGCCCACAGGCAGGCACGGCCCACCCCCACCCCACCTCACCCTCAACATTGGTGCCCCATGGAGACATCGCCTGACTGTCACCCCTGGGCACGCCATGGGCAGCCCCAAGGACCAGGGTTTCCCAAGCAATCGCCCCTGCCTTCCTGCCTCCTCCACGCAGAATCTGACTTTACTGCATTTCATTATTTTATAAAGAGGATTAGAAACTGGAAAACCGGCATGCCGACATCTGAGACGCAGTGTTCTTCGTCTCTCGCTGAGCCTGAGCTTGGCCTCGTTCCTGCCAGGCAGCACCCAGGGAGAGCTGGGAGGACAGGACGGGTCTGAAACATATCAAAGTTCACCCAAGTGGCAGGCAGAGGAGAACGGGGGACCTGAAAACCATCACTTGGCTCAGTCACGTCCACTCTGAACCATCAGAAACACAACAGGAGGGAAGGTGGCAGCCGTCCGCTGCAGGGGCCAGCACAATGGCCGCACAGAGCCATGCAGTCTCTCTCTACCGAACTTCGCGCCTCTACACAGCCGGCTCCAAATGAAGGGGCAGGAGCCAGGCTGCACTGGCTCCAGGGATGCTTCCTCACAAAGATGGGGAGCTATGGGACTCGGCCCGGGCTGAGGCTGGAAGCTCCCTGCACAGGGCTGCAGAAGCACACAGGCAGGGCTGGCAAGTTTATTTATTTTTTTAGAGGCAGGGTCTCACTCCTGGGCTCAAGCGAAACTCCTGTCTCAGCCTCCAGAGTAGCTGCAACTATAGGCATGCACCACCACGCCCAGCTAACTTTTCTTTTTTTTTTTTTTTTGAAGTAGAGTTTTGCTCTTGTTATCCAGGCTAAAAGGCAATGCCTGGACCTCAGCTTACTGAAACCTCCACCTCCCGGGTTCAAGCACTTCTGCCTCAGCCTCCAGAGTGGCGAGGATTACAGGTATACACCCCCATGCCTGGCTAGTTTTTGTATTTTTAGTAGACATGGGGTTTCACCATGTTGGCCAGGCTGGTCTTGAACTCCTGACCTCAGGTGATCCACCCGCCTCGGCCTCCCAAAATGCTGGGATTACAGGTGTGAGCCACAGCACCTGGCATCAGATAACTTTTTAAAATGTTTTGTAGAGACAGGGTTTCACAATGTTGCTCAGGCTGGTCTTGAACCCCTGGCCTTAAGTGACCCTGCGGCCTTGACCTCCTAAATTGCTGGAATTACAGGCACGGGCCGCCAGGCCCAGCCTAGGGCTTGCAATTTTAGAGCTGACTCCAGAACAAAGCAACCACTTGAACACCATCCTGGTGTCACTGATGCCCCCATATGGCATGACCTGAGACCAGGGCAGCCCCACATCTTCTCCAGGTGGGGAGATCTTTCGAGGATTTAGAAACGTGCGCCAGTAACACACACACTTGTATCCCCTGCCAAAGACTCAAGCGGATGTGTGCCGAGCAGCACTGGTAGTGAAGCAAGAGCTGCCTTGGAAAACAGACCTCTCCGACACCAAACTCAAAAAGGAAGGGATTTTATGATTACGGCCCGGGAGCAAGGCTTTAAGTTTTGCCCAAACAGCCAAGCTCCTCTAACAAAGCGAAGCTCTGCCTTGATATAGGCTCACACTCTAGATACTGCACGTGAAAGGATCTTAGGTTTACAGCCTTAGAAATGACAAGTGAAAGGGTCTTGGGTTTACAGTTTTAGGAATTACATGTGAAAGGATTTCTGGTCTCCGATGGAGAAGTGGGGTGGGGATTTGATTTTGTTTAAGTAAAAACAGTGTGGCTGGGGTGTGGTGGCTCATGCCTGTAATCCTAGCACTTTGGGAGGCTGAGATGGGTGGATCACCTGAGATCAGGAGTTCAAGACCAGCCTGGCCATCATGGTGAAACCCCATCCTTAAAAAAAAAAACAAAAAAACCACCAGTGTCTTCCGGAGAGATTCCCGCATACCACGCCTGCTATTTACAGGAAGGTGATTTAGGAGGCGCCAGTCAGCCAGGCTTTTCTTCTACTGAAATGCAGTGTGGAGGTCAAGGGGGAGGTGATCCTAGATGCCTGGGTCTCCTTCCTCAGTAGAGCCGGTTCTCTCTCCTCCCCCAGCTCAGGCAACCACTGTCACTTCTGGGAGGGGGCAGCTCAGTGTTGTTGTTGTGGAAAACCTGGGACCTAAAACCCCCTCAAAAAGTTGTGCTTTCAGGCAAGGGGAGGCCCCAACGCTGTCCCCATGCAAGTCAGCAGCTCAAAGCTCAGCTCCTGCAACCTGACATTCCTGAGGCAGGTGTGATGGCCCCACTGCCCCCGGGCCTCACAGACCGGTGCTGGCTCAGCAAGAGGAATCTTCCCACAGCCCAGAGGGTGAGGGAGAGACCACCCTCTGGCCTGCCCAAAGACCAGGTTTTAGTGAGCAGCTCACAAGGACCTGGCCTCTGCCTTCGTCCAGTGCGAGGCGGCCGACACCCATGGGACCACGAGCAAGACAACAGCACAGACCTCACGGAGGGGCTTCCCAGGCAGAGACAGGACCCTAGGGAAGCCTGAGAGAAGTTATCTCTGGACACCCTGCCTCCTTCAGGTACCCACAGCACCATCCCTGAGGCCTGGCACTTGCCTCAGGAAGGCACCCAAGGGAGCTGATACGTCCCTCCCATGGTCACGGAACAGCACCTGGCATTCTCCTCAGACGACTGGGCACCAAATCCTACACCCAACTCTGCTGGCTTCTCAGTGCAGCAACTGCTCCTGAATCTAGACAAGAAAGCTTAGTGCTGTCCCTCCAGAAACCTGACCTGGCATGTTCCAAGCCCCATCTCCATCCCGGCCAAAAGGTGGGCGTGGCTTCTGTATGACTGGTCTGCCCCACCTAGGTCTGCTACCTAGGATGCCCGTCCTTCCTCCGAGCAGGGACCTGTGGCTGGGCACTCCCTCCCCTGGCATTCCTGCCCCATTGCCTCCTCCCCCTATTGCAATACCACCAGCACTGGCTGCTCTTTCTGGATGTCACTTAGACGTGGGCACTCCCCAAAGCCTCCACGTTGCTGTTCCTTCCCCTGCCAGTTCCTCTACCTGGGATGTCCATTCTCACCCTCCTGTCCCCTTGGCCTGAGCTCTCCAAGGCCACAGCTTGACCTTAAGGCATTTTTATGTGCACAAGCACAGCAATGGCCTCCCAGAGGCCTCCACCTGCCCATTTCAGCTCCTTCTTCCTCCACCATCCTCCCTCCACACTCCCACCACCACTGATCCTACGCTGACCCTGAAGCTCCCCTTGGGATCTGGGCCAACAGCACGTGACTCTCATTTCGTGGCCCTCTGTCCTCACCTCCCACCCGCTGAGGCCTCACCTAAGCAGCAAGTGCGGCTCAGTGCTTCTCATCTCACACTGCCCCCGCCACCGTGAGGCCAGGGGTGCAGCCCCCGATCGCCGCAGTCTCACTTGAGAAATCAACACAACCCCCCGGCGCCAACAAATGAAACTTTGCAAACTCTTCCCAGGGTCACCTTGAAACAACAGTCATCTCTACTACCCCTAGACTGATGCGGCTGAAACAGTGTTCTGCTTCTTGCGCCCGGAAAGCCCTCACACTTTTTAAAGTTAGCATAGGCGAGATCAAAGCTGGGCGTCTGAGCGGCTTCCCATATTCCCCCAACACAATGTGCTCAGAGTGGCTGCGTCTGGGAAGCCGCTAGGTCCCGGGGAGGGGACTCTGGGGTCCCGGGCTAGGAGCCCTACACCAGATTTGTCTTGTGGCAGCATGAAGAATACTCCATTTTAAATTCCAAGTGACTCTGTGTTCCCACAAGCGGTATATATCGTAAATATTAAAACGATCGTTTTTAGTTGGGAGACTTCGACAAATAGGAAAATTCGCGAGGTCCGAAAGGGACTGCAGAAAACACTTCCCTCCCGGGCTTCCCTCGCTCCAGGCCAGGAAGCTCCGTAAAGGCTCCATGGACCGGCAGAAGCCCCGCGCCCCCCGCCTGCACCCCGCGCCCCCCGCCTGCACCCCACGCCTGCACCCCGCGCCCCCCGCCTGCACCCCACGCCTGCACCCCGCCCCCCCGCCCCCCGCGCCCCCCGCCTGCACCCCGCCCCCCCTCCTGCACCCCGCGCTCCCCGCCTGCACCCCGCTCCCCCGCCTGCACGCGGCGCACCTGCTCGTGGCGCGCCAGCAGCGCGGGCCAGGCGCACAAACGCAGCACCAGCAGGCTGCGCGCCAGCTCCCAGGTGCGCCGGCTGCGGTACGCCTCCTGCGTGTTGCCGAAGTCCACGGCGGGCACCGGCGGCCGCACCGCCTCGGCCGACCCACGTCCTGGCACCGGCCCGGGGCCCGCGGCGGACTCCTCGCGGGCGGCCGGCGCCGTGGACAGCGGGGCGAGGCGGGGAATGCTGGGACGCAGCGAGGACAAGACGCGCCTCAGAGCCATGGCGGGACGCCGGTACTCCGCCGGGCCGCTTAAGTACGCGCTGTGGGCCCCGCCCCGGAGGCCCCTACCCGACCTCTCTCCTCCGGAGACCCACGCTCCCAGCCGCGCCCACTCCTCGGCAGACACCACCCCGAAGGCCCCGCCCCATCCCGGAGGCCCCGCCCCTCCCGGGGATCTGCACCGGCTCCTCCCGAGGCCCCGCCCCGCGCCCCACCCAGCGCCCTCTCCTCCGGAGGCCCCCGCCCCACGCCCCCAGCCGCGCCCTCCCCTCCGGAGGCCCCGCCCCGCGACCCCCCCCAGCGACTTCTCCGGAGGCCCCGCCCCGCGCCCCCCCCAGCGCCCTCTCCTCCGGAGGCCCCGCCCCACGCCCCTTCCCAGCGCCTTCTCCTCCGGAGGCCCCGCCCCGCGGCCCCCCAAGCACCCTCTCCTCCGGAGGCCCCGCCCCGCGCCCCCCCCACCAGCGCCCTCTCCTCCGGAGGCCCCGCCCCGCGCCCCCTCCCAGCGCCTTCTCCTCCGGAGGCCCCGCCCCGCGAACCCCCACCAGCGCCCTCTCCTCCGGAGGCCCCGCCCCGCGCCCCCTCCCAGCGCCTTCTCCTCCGGAGGCCCCGCCCCGCGCCCCTCCAACCAGCGCCCTCTCCTCCGGAGGCCCCGCCCCGCGCCCCCCCCACCAGCGCCCTCTCCTCCGGAGGCCCCGCCCCGCGCCCCCCCCACCAGCGCCCTCTCCTCCGGAGGCCCCGCCCCGCGCCCCCCAACCAGCGCCCGCTCCTCCGGAGGCCCCGCCCCGCGCCCCCCCCACCAGCGCCCTCTCCTCCGGAGGCCCCGCCCCACGCCCCCAGCCGCGCCCTCTCCTCCGGAGGCCCCGCCCCGCACGCAGCGGACCTCTGTGCGTCCACAGCAGGCCCCGCCCAGCGGGCCGATCCCGCGCTCGGCGCGGTGCCTTGACAGGCCGTGGCCACCGCCCCGTGAGAGACCCAGTCCCTGGGGCCGCCCACCCCGAGCTCTGCGTTCCCTTCAGGGGACCCCGGCCCCGGCTTGCGGTCTCCCCGGACAGCGGGTTTCCGGGCTCCCCAGGCCGGTCAGCGCCGCCGCACACCTGGGTTCCTCCCTGGCCCTTGCGCCGCGTGGACCCACAGCTGAGGCCGGATCGGCGGGGGGGAATCAAGCCCGCAGCAGGGATCCGCTTCCCCTCTGGTCTGCGTGGCTGTGTCGGACGCCGTCCTCTCCCTCCCGCCCCGCGCCGTCTTAGGGGCCTGCCCCGGGCTCCTCTCCGGTCCTCCGCCCACCCACGGCAAGCGCCGACCACTAGGCCCCCTCGGACCCCTGCAGCCCCGTGGTCCCCCCTTCCCCCCGCCCCGCCGGGGTCGGCTGGCCACACCGCCTCCCCGGCAGCGCTGGCCTCTGCCGCCCGCGGGCCGCCTTTCCGCTCGCCGCCCCTCTGCCTGGATGCCCCTCGCAGATGGGACCTTCGTGGAGGGACCGGCCCTGACGGCCTGCCGCAGTGCACCCCTCCCCATCATTCACGGCCGGGCCCCTGGTCGCCGCGCGACATTCCTGCACCCCACAGACGCCGGGCCTGGCTGTGGGTGCCAGGCTCCTGGCCCCTCACCCACCTGCATCACTCCGTGCCCCTTGCACCTTGCTGGAAAGAGCAAGAGGTACGTTGCACGCCCTTACCTGTTCTGCAACGCCGACATTTCAGGCTGAGTGATTTCCTTGCGGCGGGAGCTGCCCTGCGCGTTGCAGCTTCGTATCAGCATCCCTGGCCTCCATGCACCAGGGGCCAGTAGTACACACACAGACACGTAGTTGGGACAGCTGTAAGTGTCTCCAGACACTGCCAAGGGCCCCTGAGGGACACCGTCACCACCACTCGAGACAGAGGGGTTCCTGATGCACGGAGCAACGGTTTTTCTGCTCCTCTTCCTCCTGCTGGCATCAAAGAGCAAAGGGAAGGGACAAAAGGGGTGGATGAGTCCAGGCTCACTCTGCTGGAGAGGCTAGCCTCAGCAGCCTGCCGCGACCACCAGAGTCTCCTCTTCCCGAGGACCATCCCTGCTCCTGTGGCCCCCGTCCACACCTATCACACCTCTCTCCCCCATGCCTGCCATGCTGTTGGCTCCTCCTGAGCCCAGGCTGTTTGCCTGCTGCCCTCAGGCACCCATCCCTCCCCTGCACCCTATGCCATCCTTCCTCTCCTCATCAGGGTCAGCATAGTGGGTGCCGTTCCTGGCAGGCCCTCCCTGACCTCCAAGGCCCACCTGGGCACCTATATGGCTGCAACTCGCTCTTTTCTTGCACTCGCTGGAGACTTTGACAACTGTGCCCCAGCCACGTTGCTGCCTTGATGTGTCCTTATTTAGTGAATGAAGGAAGGAATCAATGTGGGAACCCATGTGGGAAGTTTTACCCCAGTTTCTAGGCTGGTGACTGTGGATTGAGATGCATCCCCCAGGCCTTACCTCGAGTCACCCTGGACTACTCCCAGTCCTCACCAGCACTCTGGCACCTCAGCTAGATGGCGGGGACCCTCTGCCAGCAGGGCTGAGGCCAAGGCCCACTGGCTTCCCAAAGCCTCTACTCCTGCTCTCCGTGAAGACAGCACTTTCATGCCACATCCTCTCCTGGAGGGCACACCACGCTGGTCTGGGCTGCATTTTTCTCCTGAGCATCTGCGCCTGGTTTCCAGAATTGGAGCCCGGGTTCCTCGCCCTCAGCCTCTACCCAGGCACTGTGTGTCGGGAGTAACAGCACCGCCAGCAGGCAGGTGCACCCGCCTGTCGACAGTTACTGGCTCAAGAAGATAAGAAGAGCCAACCCTGACCCTAACCTGGAGCCACTACTCGCTATGACTGCCATTTTCTGAATAATCCTGTTGATCTGATCGGCTCCTGGCCCAAGACCTCCCCTCTAATGCACTCATATCCGTGTGGCCCATTTTCAAGGCATGATAAATCTAAGTCCTGGCAGCTAGCCTGCAAATGTAACAAGCCACATGGCTCATGCACCTAGAAGATCACAATAATGGAACAGAATGTAGAAGAGGGTCAGCCTGTAAAAGGGAAAAAAGTTTCGTTACTGGGAACTGGAAACTTAAGCGGGGGAGGGAACCAGGGCATAACCTTATAAGGGAGATAATGAAACTTGGGCAACGCTGGAGAAGATTGTAACCCCATAGTACTAGACCGATGAGGAAATGGGAGAGGGACTTGTGTGCTAGGGGATAAATTACTTGCTGTGACTGCCCCTGGGTGTGCCTGCCCACCAGACACCTGATCTTGGGAGACCACTATTAAAAGTCTCACTTTCACTGTTCATGCCTCTGAGTCCGTTCTTTGGGTTTGGATGGGTGAGCTTGTTTCTCACACTGCCACATTGCCTCTCCCGATATTCCTGACAAATGCCAGACGAGGGCTTCATTCCCGTTCTGACGTGGAAAACACTGGAGCAGAGTCTAAACCGAAACACCCCTGAAAAGGTCACAGCAAGGCCAAGACAAAGCTCACAGACAAGGTGGTCCTTGTTATGCATGGCCCATGGTGGGGCAGAGCCTCGCTCCAGCACCACAGCTGCCCCGGGCAGTCTTTGGAGTGTTCTCAGTCCTGCCAGGGTCACGGAGGGTCCCTCACCTCACATCCTACCACAAAACGTTTACTCTGTTGCCTGGGGCTCAAAAGCAGAGGGTCTGAGGGTGACATCAGAGAGGCTGGCAGATCAGGAAGCTCTGATCAGGAACACATCCCTCCCATGAACAACAATGGAACTGAAAGGTACGGTCTTAAGCAACGATTCTGGGAACCAACAGAACGCTTGCAACATCCAGGGGACAGCTTATTGAAGAGCCTGGTCCGTTTCAGTCAGTATTGACCAATTTCCACCTTTCTGGGAACAGCTACCATCACCCCACCCCCAACCCAGTGGCATACAGAGGAGCACAACCCTGGTGCCCAGTAGCACTATTCACAACACCAAAATGGCGCAAACGAACAGAATGTGACCCATCCATGCTGTGGAATATTATTAAGCTATAAAAAGGAATGAAATACTAATGCATGGCATGACGTGGATGAACTTTGAAAATATTATGCAAAATGAAAGAACCCAGCCACATGCATGGAACTGAGGAACTTATGTTGAGTGAAATGAGACAGAACAGAAAGTTAAACACCGCATGTTCTTGCTCATATGTGGAAGCTAAAAAAAGCTGGCCTCATAGAAGTCAAAAGTAGAACAGAGGATAGTAGAGGCTGAGAAGGGTTTAAAGAAGGAGGGAGAGGGAGAGATGTGTTGAAAGATACAAAATTTCAGCTACATGGAGGAATAAGTTCTGGTGTTCTACACCAATGTAGGATGACTCTGGTTAATAATAACATCTTATACGTCAGGCATGGTGGCTCATGCCTATAATCCCAGCACTCTGGGAGGCCTAGGCAGGTGGAATCGCTTGAGCCCAGGAGTTTGAGACCAGCCTAGGTAACATGGCAAAACCCCATCACTACAGAACATACAAAAATTAGTTACTCGGGGCGCTGAGGCAGGAAGATGACCTGAGCCTTGGGAGGTAGAGGCTGCAGTGAGTCACGATGGTGCCACTGCACTCCAGCCTGGGCAACAGAGTGAGACCCTGTCTCAAAACGAAAACAAAACAAACATTATGTATTTTTAGATAGGTAGAAGGAGAATATTGAGTGTTCATAATGCAAAGAAATGATAAATGTTTGGGATGATAGGTATGCTAATTATCCTCATCTGATCACTACACAGGACATGTATAGAAACATCACTGTGTACCCCCACGAATATGTACAATTATTATGTGTCAACTAAAAAATAAAAATAGCTGAGTGTGGTGACTCACGCCTACAATCCCAGCACTTTGGGAGGCCAAGGCAGGAGGATCACTGGAACCCAGGAGTTCCAGACCAGTCTTGGCAACATAGTAAGACCTCTCTACAAAAAAATACAAAATTAACCAGGCATGGTGGTGTGTGTCTGTAGTCCCAGCTACTCAGAAGGCTGAGGTAGGGGGATTGCTTGAGCCCAGGATGTCGAGGCTGCAATGAGTTATGCTCGTGCCACTGTACTCCAGCCTGGGCAGTGGAGGGAGACCCTGTCTCAAAAATAAAATAAAAGTGAAATT